ACATGTGGGCTATCCAACTCATGCCTCAGCTAAGAGGCCTCAAAATTACATCAGACATAGGAATGGGGAGCAGGGAGGAATTATTTATTTCTCCCTAATCTGCAAAATCCTGTCACTAGAGGTGGCTGATGCTCTAGACATCATAGCCCCAATCCTCATGGATTTTCAGGGACAAATCATTCTACTAACAGTAGTGGTCCTAAAAAACAAAAAGGCTTTAGATATGCTCACTACTGCACAAGAGGGATCTACTCTATTCTTGGGAAAGACTGCTGCCTTTGGGTTAATAGATCACGACAAGTTCAAACTAACATTCATAAACAAACCCACCAAACCTCTCAACTTAGAGAATGAGCCAACTGAGGAAAGCTGTCATGGGAAAACATGTGGTCATGGTTATCCTGGCTTCTCCTTCTTGGAACCTTCAATGTCTATTTCACTTCTTTTAGCCACTGGGCCTTGCTTTATTAATGTTCTAACCAGATTTGTTTCTTCTCGTCTGTAAGCCATAAAGCTAAATGATGCTACAACCTGGGTTTTATTCCCTTCAGTGTGGCCCTCCACTGCCTCTTAGCCCCCTGGATCAGGTTTTTGCACAATTTTATTGCAGTATTCAGTTGGGCCCCACCGTGCACCCACAGACTGCTCCATACCCCTCTGCCACAGCAACAAATGTGTAGGCAGGGATTGGTTTGTTGTTCTGTCAGGGAGGAATGTAGAGGAAAGCCCCTCACTTACAGAGGCATGGCAGAAACAAAATACCAAGAGCCAGGTGCAATAAGGAAGGAGGGGCTGAGTGTGTGAGATGGTTCTGCATGTGGAATTCAAATCATGATCTGAGAAAGAAACAACCAATCAGTGAAATTCCAGGTCAATGCTATGAAAATCTGTATCCAACCCTGTATCAGCACAGTAGCAGCACTATGCAACTTAGTCTTGCTGCAGGGTAAGACCAATCCTCCAGCAGAATAGTAAACTGCTCAGGGACTGAGATTTACTGCATCATTTCATTGATTTATCTGGGATCACTGTTAAGTAATGCTTGCAGAGCTTTATTTAATACTCCTCCCATGACTTTTACAATGCTAGTGCACATGTTCAGAGCTCAGAAAAGCAGATAATGAATTAGCACTGCTGTAAAAACGGTTTCAACCTCACAAGCTGCACCCCTTCCCTAGGGAGTCTTTTGGATCCTAGGGGGTCCAGGCACCTCACCTGGAGAACAATTGTCCGGTCCTATATAAGACTTGCTAAAATTGCACACACTTTAACCTGAAGGGGGCGCTCAAGGCCTTCCCCCTCATCCCTGCCCTCCCATTCCCAACCTTGGGCCAAAAGATGCCGGAATGGAAGACAAAGGACCCCTTAGTTTTGCTTATTCAGTTATTTATGTGACCTCACCCTCTACCGTAAGTCCCTGATACAACCGCATCATCTTTATTCCATTTACTCAGGGCTCTGGCCCTCTCAGGAGTACAAATAGGGCCCTCTGTTACTGGAGACAGCATGAATCTGATAGGACCACTGCAGCCACCCGGGCCTTTCTGTGCCTTACGGGTCACTGGTGAACACGGTCCTGCACAGTGCCTCGTGGATGCTGTTCCAAGCTGTTAGCCCTCCCTGGATGCTGTCAATGGCACACCCAGATCTGTGCCCTCAACAACCTGGTCAAGCCCACTGTCCCATGGCCCTGGGAGCAGGACGCACCAGGTCACCTCTTTAACCTCCCTCCCATACTTAGCCTCGTGCTCCCAAGTCACAGCCCATGCCAGGGAATTGCCACACACCAGTCCTCCCCACCAGCCTGGACCTCTTTGTCTTTGTTGTCTTTTTTCACCTCTGAGCCTAGGCTGTGCTCAGCTTGGGCATCCCTAGGGAGACTCAGTGGGCACTGGTGTCCTGACTTTGAATTCACTGAGGACTCTGATTTGTTTGCCTCCAGCTGCTGCCTTTCCCTTTCCACCCATTATTTTCCCTGTTTTACCAGTGATTTATGCATTGCTTCAGCTTTACATCTCTGCACCATTCAAGTCTGTCAAGTCCATCAAATTGTTTTAATGCCTGCTATTTGTTTTCCATTTTTTCTTTTTCTCCTTGAATTTCCTTCATATTCCTTTAAGGTAAAAGTTTCTTGCTGCCAAGTTATTTTCTGTGATTTTTTATTAAATGGTTTTAATTTAAAAAATAAAAGCACATGGTGAAAATTGAAAATGATAAAAGTATACATATGGAAAAACAAGCAAGACCTCTAATCTCTGTCTCTAGAAGGAATGGTGACAGTGGCTTCCCATGTTTCCTTCCGGAAGTTCTCTGTGCACATAACAAGCAGCCCTGACTTTGGTTGCACCCGTAGGGGCTTGCTCTGCACAGTCCTGGACCTTTTGTTTTCTTCTTAACCCTGTATCTTGGGGGATTGTTTCATGCCAGGACATGAAGAGCTAGCCCAGCATTTGTAAGAGCTCCACTGTAACATAAATCAAGCTGTGTCTGGTCTTTTCCAATTATAACCAGTGCATCAGTGAAATATGTATGTACACAAGAAGTACGGGATCAAATTGGAGAAAAAGAGTTGTTAGGTCAAAACTATTTACTATTTAGTCAACACTGGGGCTGGGGATGTAGCACAGTGTTACAGCACTTGTCTTGCATGCATGAGGCCCTGAGTTCGATACCAAGCACTGCAAATAAAGAAAAAAGAAAAGGTTAATAGATACTGTCATAATGCCCTCCAACGAGGAGAATGTTGGGAAAATTGTTCCCTGTGTGTTCCTTGTCTTTTGGTTTTATTGTAATTTTTACCATGAAGAAATATTGGAATTTTATGTGGATAAATTCACGTTTGGCTTCTGGTTTTTGTTTCTTCCTTAACTCAGCTCTACTCCAGTTCAAGATTTTCTTCCTCTCCTGTGCTTTCTTCTAGTCCCTTTGGGTTTTAATTTTGGCATAAAAATTTTAACCTATCTACCATTTGAGAATTAGAATGGAGGGAGAACTCCCCCCATAGCCAAGTAGTTATAAGATTTATCAGATGATTCGTATTTTCCCGAGTTTGGATGTCTCCTCTGTCACTTACCTTTCTGTGTTCTTCTAGGTAAAGAACAGTCAGGTGCAGTCACAAGAGGAGACACAGGAGAGGCTCAGGAAAGAAAGGTTTATTATCTTCACAGGTCCTAGAGGCATGGCATGCAACACGCCCATGTGAGGAGGCCTCAAGGTGACCAGAGGCAGAAAGCAGCAACAGCCAGGGAAGAGCCCAGGCCAGAAGCCTAAACTGAAGTGTCCGGGAAAGGCACAGCATGGCAGGGTAAGCAGCGTAGGGCTGGCTGGTGTGAGCACTCTTGGTGGACTCTGAGTGGCAGGAGAGGTCTCCAGGCACCTGGCACCTGCCCTAGGGTGATTAGGGCAGAAGAATATGGTCGTTGTGGGGACAGGGGCCAATCAGGGGAGAACAGATTCATACCAGTTAGTTCTGTACCAAAGGCATGCTCCAGCTGAGCCCTTGCTGTCTCTAAGAATTGGCTAGACCCAGGAGGGGCAGTGCAATGGTTTGGCTAAGTGGCTCCCCATGGTTATATGGGGATGCTGTAGAACCTTTAAGAGGTGGGAACTGCCACATGCCAGGAGAGAAAAGGAAAGAGGAGGTCCCACTGGGAGAGTCCTCAGCAGGACCCATGTAGTGCTGCCTGACCCAGGGTGGAAGGGACTGTGGACTAGCTGGGCAGAGGTCATCCACAGCACTCCAGAACTGGAACTGCTTGTTCCCAGCTAAGCCTCTCATGGGTTCATTTCTTCTCTCCCTCTCTTCTCAACAGACATAGGAATTGCTTAGGGACATTTTCCCCCAGTACCCAGTCAGCCTGAATGGGATTTTTGAAGCTGGGGTGAATTGGGCGGCAAGCCTAGGTTTTTTAGGGAGGCATTTAGAATGCCAGAATCTAAGAGATGGGAGAGCCTGTTTCATCTATTGACTCAAACCTTGGTCCCATGAGTCACTCAGTGCAGCACCAGAGGCCCAGGCTGGGTTTTACGGGGTCCCTGTTCCCCTCAGGGAGACCCAGAGGAAGGTGATGAGAGTCAATCTTCCATTTTCCACCCAACCCAGCAAGCACCTCCCCTCAGCCCATACTCCCGTCCTCCCTGCCCCCTTCACAGCAGTTATCATCATCCAGTGTCATTTACAACCTGTGGTTGTTTGGGCAGGATCTGAGCCGACTAAAAGATAAACTCATGACCAGTGGACTCTGCCTGCTCCTTCTGTGTCCTGCACCAGCTGTGGCCCATGCAGATATCTGAGCAGCCAGTGAGGACAGTGCTCCTGATGTGTGTGGTTTCCTCTCCAGACAGACTTCATGTGGGCACCACTGTGCACCGCGATGGGGCGGCTACGTCCCAGACCAGACCTAGCCCTTTCCAGGCTGGACATCTCTAATCTGAAAATGTGAAATGCTCCAAAATCCAAAGCTTTTTGAGAAATGACTTAATGACACGAGGCTACAAGTGGACAGTTCCACACCAGGAAACTTTGTTTCATGCACAAAATTATTAAAAATATTGTCTGAGATGACCTTCAGGCTGTGTGCATAAGATGAATGTGAAGCATTAATAAATTTGTGTTTAGACTTGGGTCCCATCTCAAGATACCTCATTATGAATATGAAAATACTGCAAAATCTGAAAAAAAATCTGAAATCTGAAACACTTCTGCTCCCAAGCATTTTGGATAAGGGATCCTGAACCTGTACCATTGGCCACCCTAACCTTGCCCACCCCTCTAAGTGGCTGCTCCCCTGGCCCTCGTCAGATGAGGGAAGGGCTGAATTTTTTTCCATCTGTAGGACTCTCTCCTGCCTGGACCATCATGGAACCATTCTCCATCTGTGTTGGGCTTTTAACAATAGCTAAGGCAGAGGATTGCGAGTTTGAGGCCAGTCTGGGATCACAGGAGACACTGTCTCAAAACACAAATGGGACCAAACAACAATAACATAAACAAAACATACCTTAAGGAACACAAGTTTTAGAATATTCCTCATTCAAAGTCAAGGTTTTTGAACATTTATCCAATCTGTTTGGCTGGAAAAAAAAAAGGCAGAGACAAATGAATCAGTCTTTCCATCTGGCTCAGAGAAGTGACTTGTCCACCTGGAACTGATTTGGCTCACTAGAAAACTGGATGTGATATCTGTGTTTGTATATTTGTCTTTATTCTTCTTTTAAAAACTACTTTATTTTTAAAAAGGTTCATAGACTTTATTTTTTAGTTTTACAGAAAAACTGAATGGAAAGGACGCACACACTTCCCATACACCCTCTTTCCCCTGACGCTCACCCACCTCACTGCCTCCTCTGCTAACCTCATATGCTAGTATGGCCGGTTCTCCCAGTTGATGAACCTCATTGGAAGGCCACAGTTCACATTAGGATTCACTCTTGGTGGCGTACATTCTATGGGTCTGGACAAAAGTGTATGACATGTATCCACCAATAGAGTATCACAATAATTTCTCTGCCCTAAAAGTCCCCTGTGCTCTCCTGTTTACCCCCCTTTCCTGTGGTCTGCACTCTCATCCCTCCTTTCCAACCCCTGATCTTTTTATGGCTCCTATAGTTTTGCCTTTAGAGTTTGAATCATGAAGTCATTTCAGATTGGTTTCTTTCATGTAATAATATGCATTTAAGTTTCCTCCATGTTTTTGATGTCTTAATAACTTGCCATCCTTTCTTTCCCTCTTTCTCTTTCTTTCCTTCCTCCTTCACTCCCTCCCTCTCTCCCTTCTCTCTCTCTCTCTCTCTCTCTCTCTCTCTCTCTCTCTCTCTCTCTCTCTCTCTCTCTCTTTCTTTCTTTCTTTTTGAGACAGAGTTTTGCTCTGCAGCCCAGGTTGGCTGATAGCCCATTTCTTTGATGGATAATATTCCATTGTTGGGATGTACCATAGTTCATTTGAAGGGCATCCTGGTTGGCTAATTTAGGTTTCAAATTAATTTTTATTTTATCATTGAAACATACATATATGCATCTGAAGAAAAAAGCAAAACAATACAGATAAACTTGATAATTCCCTCGTCACTACTCAGCTTCCTCCAATTTCCTCACATTCCTCAATGTACGGAGTGAATTATGGGTCTGTCGCTGTGTAACACACAGTTAAGTCTCAGTAAGCACTTTGTATCCTACAGTTTCCAAGACCTGGGAATTTGGGAGTGTTTGATTAGGGTGCTAATGGCTTGGTTTTTCAGGAGGCTCCAGTCACCCAGGGCTACGTCACCTGAGGGCTCAGGTCGGCTGGAGCAGCCCCTCCACTGCTCACTCATGTGCTTGGTGTGGGGATGAGGAGGCCCCAAGCTTGCCTGAGTCCTCACCTCGTGGCGTCCACCAAGCCTGTGAGAGCTGAGAGAATCCTCACTCAGCTTCTTCTATGACTGTCCTGGGAAGTCACACACTATCACTTCTACAGTCTAGTCTGACGCAGGTCACAGGAGGGGTGTGAACACAGGAGGTAAGAATCTCTGGCGACTGTTGTGGACACTGACCACCATAAAGAGAAATTCATGGATTTTTTTGTGGCTTTTGTGGGAAAGTTTATATTTAGAAAAGGGAAAAATGACAATCTCATAAGTCTTAAAGTAGTATTTAAGCTTTACTGATACACACAATATAAGCAGTATTAAAACAAATCTTAGGCAGGTGTGGTTACACATGTCTCTAATTCCAGAACTCACAAGGTGGAGGCAAGAGGATTATAAGTCTGAGGCCAGTTTGGTGCTATCTAATGAGACCTTATCTCAAATGACCCAAATAAATGAATAAATAAATACATGAAAATAAAACAAATATGATGCCACTTCATAGCAAACAATTTGTGTTCAGGAATTTCAAACATCATAATAATAGGAAAATTAAATTTTTAAATATTACTATATCATATGAGGACCAATCTGTTAATGCCTGGATACAAGAAGATTGCAGGAGTCAATTAATTTTCACAGATTTAAAATCTCCCCACTGCTACCACAGTGCTGGATGTGTGAAGGAAGGTCTGTATTTTTATGTGGCACTAAGTTTTACTTCTCTTTCTAAAAGATCTATTTCCCTCTTGCCCATGCTCTGATTCGTGCTGGGTGTGGGCTCACATGTCTGACCTGAGCTTTGGCTGTCTCTGATTTATAAACAGATATTTGCCTTATAGTACTGTGATCCCTTCACTCCCACTCCACAGGAGGTCAAAGTTGAAGTTCTAGTCTGTTTTGAAATATGACAAAAACACGGTCCCTGGAGAGAAAGAGGTAAACAGGGTGAAAGGTTCCGGCGGCAGCAGAGGTGCAGACACACCTGAAACAGAAGACACCCTTGGGATCATAACACTGCAGAGCCACTGTTTACTGTCCTGATTCAGGGCCTTTTGACCCTGTGCAAGGGTAAACTTTGGAGTACAACAGTGTGATCATTCGGAAGAAAACTCACGTCAAAACTCTTGTTGGTGTCTCCTGCTGTCACAGATACAAATGTCCCATGACTTCTGGGCACTCGTCCTCTGCACTATGGTCCAGTTTGGTCATAAACCTGGGGTCCTCTGGGTGATGTTTAAGCTAATCTCAAGAGTTTAGATGCCATGGGACATTATTTAATCACATTGGGAATACTTAATAAACATTACTGAGTATATAGTATGTGCACAGATTTATATTTCCCGTGACAAGTCAAATCAGTTATATGATGTATTTACTAGTGTATCATTGGTCTCCCAGTCCCAGACACTAGGATGTCAGCTCCCTGAAGACAAGGATTGGTGCCTGTTTTATTGACTGCTTTGTCCCCAGTACCTGGAAGAATGTCTGGTATATACTTAGCATGTAATAAATATGTGTTGGATGAATGAATGAAGAAGGCACAATGCTAGTAGGTACTAGCAGCAACACACAGGCTCCATGGAAAGCCATCTGCATGGGTTTTCTGATTTTAATGTCCACAGCAACTCCACAAAGTAGGCACTGACATACCAACTTAGAGATGAGGAAGCTGTAGCTCAGGGAGGTTATGTAATTGGCAGAAATGCAGGCGCTGGGATACAAATGCAGACTCACCATGGTTGTTAAAGGTCTTATAATGCAAAGGGGAGCCCATCTCAACAAAGAACCATTCTGCTCCAGATTCCTGTGGCAGCAGGGCATGGTGGCTTACACCTGTAATCTCAGCACTTGGGAGTCTAAAGCAGGAGGATCACGAGTTAGAGCCCAGCTTGGGCTACATAAGGGCCCAGAAGGAAGGAAAGGCCAATGGCTGTCTTTCCGGGAAGCATCCACTTAGCAGCTCAATTACACAATCACCTCAAGGACTCCCAGTTTTGTTGGTGGTAGTTGAGATGCTCCTCAGTTCTTGGGGACAACATTTAAGATTAGGACACTGTCCCAGGTGCAGCAAAAGAACCACAAAGTGTAGGAAGATAGCAAAGAGTGACCTATTAGCAAAGCATAAAGGGTGAAGTGGGAAGGTCAGCTAGGGACCCAGTGGCATGGAAGCTAACAGGGCTTGAGACCCTATCCAATAGGGTGGGGTTATTAGATAGTCTGAAATCAGGGCCCTCCGTGTGGGCCTCCCCAGATGATTTGCCCACTGTACAGAGGCTGCCAGGTGTTGGAAGGCTTGGTGCCCTATGCTACCATAGCACTGGGCCACTACAGCAATTCATCCCTTCCTAAGCACTAAGCTTCCAAGACCTATTATTAGGCATAACTTCATGATCATCCCATAGGGCTGTGTGAAGGTGATAAGTGCCATTTGCTGTGTGTGTGACAGGTAGGTGTCAGCTATAGCAGATATTCTAGTCCTGGCTCTTCTGGGTTGGCTGAATGATTTGGTTAAATAAATCATCTGGATCTTGCCCAGCTTTATTTTCCAAGCTCTTAACATTCTTCCTTTCTATTAGAAGTCACATATGTGAGAGAAAAATGATCCTGGAAAGCAGGGTCATGTTTTTCTTTTCCTAATTCATTGCAAGTTTATTCTTTGCCCTACTTCAGTTATGTTGACAAATAGGGCCTAAGGAGCTATAGAATTTGGTTCCCTTAAGTTATAAGGCTTTTTTTTGGAAGTTTCCATTGCTGCATTTAAGTCCCTGAACTATCACTGTGATTTTAATGTAAACAAGCTAATTTGTTTGAAAAAGCTAACCAAGAGCTAAAGAAATTCTTTCTAAAATGTTTCTGTTCTTTTAAAATACTTAAAACTTTAAAATATCTTAAAATACTTTGACATATTATATATAGTAAAGGATGGGAGGTTTTTCATCTGCTCTTTTGGATTCTGTGGCTGGGCCTAAGAATTAAATTTACAAGGCCTCAAGTTTGCTAGGCAGGTGCTCCACCACCTGAACCACACCCCCGCCCTTATTTTTATGTGTACTCAGAGTCCTTCATGTATAAGAAATAAGGACCCAGAGAAGTGGATGGGGCTGAGAACTTACGCACCTTGTTAACAAAGAATGGCAATAAGTATTACAGTCAAGCCCACATCATCCTGGCCATTTAGCCTGAGCTCTTTATATACCTTATTGTCATATAATATGACAAGGTCAGAGTGGAACCTGAAATTCTCCAGGTCTGGGTTCTTTCAAGACCTTTGTCATTGTTCACATTGGCATGTGTTCATGTGTGTTCGTTTTGTGCCCTTTTATTTGTAAGATGAGGTCAGGTTGTGATCTGATGTAAGTCTGTAGTCTGGCTTTGGCAGCTAGAAGGCTTGGTTTGTCACTTGACCAAGTTAATCCAGATTTTTGGTGTTGGGCAGCCTAATTAAGTGAGCAGCTGAACTATTCCAGGTTACACAAGGGAGGCTTGTGAGCCGGCTGAAACATCTGGTGATTTTACAAGTATTTGTGCCAGAACCTTCAGGTGGAGGCCTGGGAGAGAAGTCATGTGCCAGAGCAGAAATGTGGGATGGGGGCCAAAGACCACCGATGGCTTACACTAAGCATGCTGGAGGCAAGGCAGGAGATCCCAAAGTGAGGTGCTTAGTGACTCCTGCTATTGGAGTCTCTCCCTGGCTTCTGAGGACCCTCACTTCTGTTTCCTCCAGCCCTTTGGGCTACCCTTTCTCAATTGCCTTTGCAGGCTCATCTGTCTTGCCAGTAATTGTCAAAGTTGGTCAAAACTCAGTTATAGGCCCTCTCTTCCTCTTCTGAACTCTAGACCTACTGTGCCATAATAAAAATATGTGTAGCTTAGGGAAAACCCAGCCTCTAGCTTCACTTACTTTTAGCTAAAATTTTCTTGGAGGGTGTGTGGTCCTGGGGTTTGAACTCAGGGCCTTGTGTTAGGCAGATGCTCTAACACTTGAGCCATGCCCTCAGCCCTAATACTTGTTTTTAGTTGACTTTAAAAGCACTGATTTTGGAGGATGTGTTTTCTGCGTTTTTAGTCTTTCACCAGCTCTAGTGTAGATAACGCCTCTGACATGCGCAGCTCGTTTATAGCTGTTGCCTAGGTGACTTTTCAGGGACTTTTAAGGACATTTTTGTCAAGACCATCAACTCTTCACTTTGGGCCTGTGCAGATGTCCAGTGGTTAACATTTGGGCATCAGGAAGCCAAAAACCCCACCCTCATATTATGCTATACCACCGTCTATACCACATGTGTCCTATGAAGAATTGGGAAGGCTGATTACGTACGGGCAAACGACTGATTACTTCTCCTCCAGTCATCTTCTCCCATGCCTTAAACCACTCCTCCCCCTTCTCCTTCTTCTTCCTCTGCCCCTTCCTCCTCCTCCTCCTTTTTAGACAGGGACTCACTGTATACCCTGAATGACCTGAATTCTCTATGTAGCCCAGGCTGGCCTCAAACTCAAGATCCTCTTGTCTCAGCCTCCTGAGTGCTGAATTTTCAGATCCGGGCCACCATTGCTGGCTCCACTCTGCTTCTTTATCTCATAAATCCTAAACTTTATCCTCAGGGAGCAAGATTTGAGACTTGGGTCTCTTAATTCATGCTTGACAGCCCTGTGAATAAACTCTTTCTTGCTCAAAACTCATCATTTCAGAGATTGGCATGCTGCACACAGGGCAAAATTGGCCCCGTTAAATTTCGTGTACATTTGGTCCTGTCCCCAATTCCTGGCGCAGAGATCGTAAAAGTCTTGGAATCTCTGAGTGACAGGAAATTTGTCATCTCTTGTGTGGTTTTTGTTATTTCGTAAACACCAAATCTTTTGTAATTTATAAAGAGCCCATCCTTGGTTTATGTTAATGAAGTGACTTAGCCTGTGATCTGAATCCCTGGTCCAGATCCTCAGAGAATACCTAGGCCCTAGATAATCTCAGATGTGCTGATTACCAGAAAGAACAAGTGATTAGAAGACAGAACCTCAGCCCCACCCCCTGACCTCCAGGAAGGGGAGAGGGGCTGGAGGCTCCTAAACCCTTGAACAACAAGGTATGTGGCACTTCCTAGGTTGGTGAACACACAGGTACTGGGAAGAGGTACACCTGGAGTGCTCAGGAGAGTCATTGCTATGGTTTGAATATGAAATGTCCCCCACATCATAAAGTATTAGAATGCTTGATTCTCAGCTGGCGACAATATTTGAGAGGTTCTGGAAACTTTGGGAGGTGGCACCTAGATGGAGGAAGTAGGTTTCTGGGGATGCGTCCTGGGGTAGCCCCTTCCTGTCTTTCTCTGCTGCCTCTCCACAATAGGTGAAGATGCTTGTGCCATAAACTCCCACCATCATGATATTCTACTCAAACCCATGGGGACAAATGACTGTTGACTGAATCCTCTGAGACCATAAGCCAAAATATATGCTTCCTCCCTTAGGTTGGTCACACACAAAAAACTAACTAATAATCAAACCTGATTGGTGGGGGGAGACCCTGAATTTGCAGTTAGCCAGGCAGAAATGTGGTAGTCTGGATGCCTCATTTGTATCTGGCATCTAAAGTGGAGGTTATTTTGTGAGACTGAGCCTTGTGGAATCTGACACTAACTTCAGGTAGTTACTGTAAGAATTAAATTGTTGGACATCCAGTTGGAAAATCAGAGAACTGATGTGAGCTAAGTGCAGCGGTCAATCTTGATCGTCACCTTGACTGGATTGAGAGGTGCCTAGGAGATTAGTAAAGCACAGCTCTGTGTCTTTGAGGGATTTCTAGAGACAATTAGATCATCAGAGCTCTGACCTAATGAGTGGTTTAATCCACTGATGAATTTCAGTTTTGGAAAAGACTATTGGGAGGTGGTGAACTGTGGAAGCTGGGGCCTAGTTGGAGGAAGTGGGTCACTGAGCACCTGCCTTTGAAGGATATATCTTGGCTCTGGTCCTTTTCTGTTCCTCCTCTCTGCTTATTGGTTGCCATAAGATGAGCGGTCTCTGCCACACACTGCCACCACCCTGATATTCTGCCTCAGGCCCAAAGCAATAGATCCAGCTAGCCTTGGACTAAAATTTCTGGAAGTGCAAACCAAAATAAATCTTTCTTCCCTTAAGTTGTTTATTCAGATATTTTGTCACTGTGAAAAAATATCTGGCTAACACAACAAAGCACCATTTGGAGTCAGTAAGAACCTGAAGACCTATCCAACCTGTTCCCAAATGCAATTCTAATCTTTTCTTTCCTGCATTCTTCTCTTGGTGCCTTAGCCCCACTGATCTCTACTGCTCCTACCCAATAGCTCAATCCAAATCCTAAGAGCCCCTGCCTCTGTCCCCACTTGGGTCCATGGTGTGTCACGTTAGTTTTCCCTTCTACATAGCTGTCAAATCTATCTACCCCACAACCATCTATCAACTTAGGTATGATCACCAGTCACTTCAATGATTGTGATAGCCTTTTATCCCATTGTTTCTATCCCCAGCAATCTACTCTTCATTCTGTGTCCAAAATGATTTCTTCAAAACTTAAGTTTATTTTTTTATACCCACATTTTAAACACCGCAATGACTTCTCACTGCTTGAGACTGAATGGCTGCCCCCTCCCTCCCTGCCCAGCTTGGCCATGTTGCCCTGGTGCTATAAGGATCTTCTTTCAGTCCCACCCTTCCATATAGCCTCCAACAGAGCCTTTAAATGGGCTGGAATGGTGTCCCCTTCAGTCCTATATGTTAACTCCCAACATCCCATCTTAGCATTTGCCAGAGTGGCTGGGTTTGTATCAGTGTTGCTCTTCTCCAGTATACTGAGGACACCATGAACATGGGCACACCTAATAACATTTCACCAAAGACAGGAGTGTGGGTTGGGACTGGGACCAGGGCACTTGCACGGCCCTGAAAGTGATGCCTCTTTAAATTCTGTGTTTCAGGTACCTCTCTTGCCTCCTCTAGTCCTGGCCCTGGAGTGGAGTGAACATGTCTCCAAAGTGTCAACCCAACTTCAAAATCTTTTAGAAGTCCTATTTTATCTTTAACTTAGTTTATGAATTTTGTGTTTAACTGAATAATACATCAATGTTTATTTAAATGTAAAAACTATGTGTTCTTCCCAAATGTTGATGTTGCTCCCGGAAGACCCACCAGTGGATCTGGGCCTTCTTGTAAGCCCATGCCCAAGTTGAGATGCATTTGTGGAGTTCCACACTGGGCAATGGAGCCAGCAGGACCTCTTTCTCACAACACACCCAGCTCAGGCTTATTAGCAGTGGGCAAAATCTTCCTTCTAACTGCCAGGGTTCAAATCCTACTACAACCTAGCTGTGGGTCCTCAGCTAATGGTCTTTTAGGTCTTTCTAGGTCTTTATGTTCCACGTGTAGAGTAGAGATAACATGATTCCTGCTCCACAGGATTATTCTGCAAAGATTACTCAAGAAGAACCATTGACTCTGATGAATGCTCAGTAATATTAGTCATTAATACAGCCCTACTCTCTGCTCACCATCTCTGTATATTCCCCCAACCCCCCCCCCACACACATGGGCCTAAAGACCTGGCCCCTTTAAATTCTGCCAAACCAGAATATAAGCCCCAGTTTTAAAAGTATGGGTAAATTAGTCTTAATTTAGTGGATCCATGTTTCCAGGATCTCCAAGTTTTTATATAAGTTTCTGTACACACATCCTCATAGGTTAATTATCAGTTTCCAAAATGTGGGTCTCTAGAGCCCAAGATCAGCATCTCCTTGTAAAAAGTATTTTCAGGCCCCACTCCAGACTTACTGAATCCCACACTTGGTATGGGGTCACAGCAATCCGATTCCGCTAGAGATGCTGATGGCCCTAAAAGCAAAACCAAAGCAATCCACCACTTTTGGAAGTCTTCCAAAGCCCTAAATACCGCCAGACACTCCTCTACCCCTTCTTGGCCCTGGTTTGGCTTTGGCCCCTTGCAAGGCCTGAGCGGTCTTTCTGGGCCTGGGATCCGACGGCAGGGGGTTGGGAGCCCTGGCTAAGGCGTCCTGCAGCAGAGGTAGGCTGTGCGCGCCGCGTGGGTGTCAGCCACCGCAGGGCCCCCTCTTCTTCCCCACCCAACCCGGAGCGCAGACCCGCAGGCGGGACAAGGGGAGGGGCTGGGACGTGCTCGCAGGCCTGGCGAGAATGGCCTCCGGCTGCTCTGGGCTGGCAGCAGTGCAGGCTCTCGGCGGGTCCCCGCGCGATCCCCGCCCCCAAGTCCACCCGCACCGCCACTGGGCAGGTGGGTGAGGGCTACATATCCAGCCTCCTGGCTTTCGGGAGCTGCAGGGGAAAACGGCCTGAAGTTTGCGAAAGGTAGGAATACGAGGAAGGGGTTGCAACTCCATACTCTCGGGCAGAGCAAGACCGACCTCCTTCCAGGCTTCCGGTAGGCAAGTTTTCCTCAACTGCGCTGCTGCACTGGGGACTCACCTAGGAGGAGACTGCTGGACGACGACTCTCCTCGTGAAGACGGACCAACTTCTCGGGCAGGAAGACTTTGTCCACGCTCTGGTCTACGAAAGTTGAGCGCAAGCTTTCTTTCCATCGGTGACACTCCAGAGGTGGGACAGCCCCGAGCCCTACCCGGAGTGTGTGGGTAGGGGGTGGGGTATCAGGGAGCCTGCGACCTTCAGAAAGTCTCTCACTTTCTACCCCAGTACTCGGGAACTCGCCCCCAGGTGTTGCGGCGGCTGCGCCTCCCCGCCCCTGACCCTGCCCTGCGGTCAGGTTCAACTTCGGAGCCGGCCCCAGGCCCGCACCCTCCTCCCACTCGGTCCTGGGCAGCAGCAGCTAAAAGCTGGAGGCTCCGGAGCGGAACTGCCTTCTCTCCCCGAGCCGGATCGACTGCGGGCAGGAGGACGAGCCCCAGCGGGCGCTATGCGCTCCTTCCACCTCCCAAAGAAATAAGTTTCCCGAGGAGTCTTAAGCCAGGGCTTCTTGGCAGGACAAGTCCCAGGGCTGGATGGTGTCATGGAGCCCCCCGGGGCGCAGCTGCCAAGTTCATATGCGCCGAGACATGCGCCCTTGGGAGACCCCCCGACCTCCGAGGAGCTGCCAGCCCCGGAGGTCTTCTGCGTGGAGGGTGACACTTCGGCCTTGAGCCCTGACGCTCAGCTCAGGAACAGGCCTCTGTTCCCGAAGGAAGAGGCCGATCTCCCAGAGCAGGAAGAGCTGCCATGCCGCCGCCCCCGCGCTCGCTCCTTCTCCTTGCCGGCCGACCCCATCCTGCAGGCGGCCAAGTTGCTGCAGCAGCACGCCCTGCGGCCTAACGCGGAGGGCCGGGAGCGAGCTGAGGACGCGCGGCACAGCCCGGGCGACTGCTGCGCCAAGTGCAAGAAGCGGGTTCAGTTCGCCGACTCGCTGGGGCTGAGCCTGGCCAGCGTGAAGCACTTCAGCCAGGCCGAGGAGCCGCGGGTGCCGCCCGCCGTGCTCTCGCGCCTCCGCAGCTTCCCCATGAGCGCCGAGGACCTGGAGCATTTCGGGGGGCTGTTGGCGGCGGCAAAGGCGTCCGCACCACTCCTGGCGCGACTTCCCCAGCTCCGACCTCTCTTCCAGCTCCCGGGGCCGAGCGCCGCGGCCGAGCGCCTGCGGCGACAGCGCGTGTGTCTGGAGCGCTTGCAGTGCACCGCGTCGTCCGGCGCCGAGGTGACCGGTTCTGGTAGGGTGATCATTTGCCCTGGACCCAGGACTGTGACCGTGCGCTACACCTTCACGGAGTGGCGCACCTTCCTAGACGTGCCGACCGATCTGCAGCCTGAGCCACTGGAGCCACGGTCACCAGAGCTGCCGTCGTGGGTCCCTGGACCAGGGTCTGGGGATGCCGAGGAGGAGCCGGCCGTCGAGCGCTTCCACTTCTCCCTGAGCCTGCCCCCCGGCCTGCAATCCAAGGAAGGGGAGGACAGAGACGCGCGGGACGTCGCTGTCCACTTCGCCATCTGCTACCGATGCCAGCAGGGCGAGTACTGGGACAACAACGACGGGGCCAACTACACGTTGCGCTATGAGTGCTCCACCGACCGGCTTTGAGCCAGAGGCGCTTCCGGGGACTGTGGAGGGTAGGAGCTGACCAGGGAAGGGCTCCACAGGGACTTGCTGGGACGCTTAGATGGGCATAGTGGATCTGGCGTGAATTTGAAGACAGCAGGAAGGAACCGTTGAAGTATAAACGCTCAGCACAAGCAGAGCCACAAGAGCAAGCATTGTGGGTCTGGGTAGTGCTCTGAACCTCTCTGGTCTGTCTTCTTCCTAGACGACCTCCAGAATCCCCAGACTCCGTCAGAATGGGAAGAAATCCCCAGGGCCCCCACGCAGAAGCTCCCACCAAGGAAAAGGCTCCCCACCCCGAGCACGGCTCTATGACCTCGGGTTTTGTTTTTAACTCGGGATTTTGTATTTTCATCCTTGTAACTTGATGGAGACGTCTGGAAAGGACAAAACACTTCATCCACTAAGGGAAGGCGCAGGCATGGGACCTTCCCACCCAGGCTTGTTTCTAGGAGAAAACTGGGTGGGAGGCTGGGTCAGGCTGTCCTTTTCTTTTTATTGGGAACTTAAAATGTTTACCCAGACTTGACATTATTGACTTGTGAGATTGTGTACAAACGTCTTTTTAAAAAGTAAAGGCCACTTGCACACATTTTTCTGCTGTGGGGTACTTTATATTTTACTTCCCCAGCATTTGGGGAGGCCTTGGCAGTCAGGCGATCATTGGCTGACAACATGGTCACTTTAACAATTGTTTAACAGAATATTTACAGATTTCCCTCCTTCAGTCTCTCCTCTTGGTGTGGAAAGGCCAGATTCCCCATTAAAAGTGTTCTTTACTATGTTTTGTAGAAAGCGTCCTGTCCCCTGCCATCACAGGATGTTTAATGAATTAAAATGCCTACTGTATTAGTAGGTCTTGGCTGTGAGCTACAAGAGTAAGTCCCAGGTGTCTAAGTCCCTTTTGTGCACACCAAGCACATAGCTTCTGGACTGGGCTATTAGTAGTCAGAGAAGCTGTGCTCTTAGAGGCTGGACTCCCAAGTGCAGGGGGTGGGGATGGAGGGTGGGAAGATGACTTTTTGTCCCTCTCAGAGCCACAAGGAGGAGTGGTAGTTTGATGGATAATGAAGCATTCTTGGCAAGTAAATGCTGCTCAGAAATGGGCACTCTGCACAGCAGGACCAGAGCCACAGGGTCAAGACCACCTTCTTCACTCACTGCTGGTGGCTGTGGATGCCAAAAGGACTTGGCCATGTGAGAATCAACAGCTGGGCATCCTGGGTGTAAGAACTTCACTCCTTCACACCTTGGTCATCCCTTCCTTGATAATTTACTTTTTAAAAAGTTTTCCTATTTTCTAGCCCAAGGCTAATATAATCATTTTGGGGATGGTGGCCAGGAGGGAGTTTTGCATTGTTGCTCTGTACCATGGACCAAATTTGGCCAAAAGTCTGTTTTTGTAGGGCCAGAGACCTATGAATGATTTTTAAATTTTTAGATAGTTGAAAAAAATTTAAATAGGAACACTGTTTTGTGACATAGGAGAATTTCATGAAATTTAAACTTGAGTTTTATTGGAACACAGCCCTGCTGACTCAATTATGAATCCTCTTCCGCTGCTCTCAGGTTACCATGGCAGAGTTAGGAAGATGGAACAGAGACCGTATGCAAAGTGTACAATACTTACTGACAGCTCTTTTATTGAAAGTAAGCTAACCTTGATTTTTTTTTAACACTACATGCTGAGAGTTATAGTTAATAAGGCACTTAACCTTTTAGTGAATTTTACCACTTGAAACAAATATCCTTTGGCTAAAGGTAAAACCTTCCATTACTGACACTAATCTTGGTTAGAATAAACACGAAGACATTAAAAGAACAATTATTACTTCAAACTTTAAAATATGACCAAGCACTAGTGATTTAACATAGCTTTGCTTAGTGATTTAATGACCTGTCACACTAAAGAGATTCTTAGCTGCTTCTTATAAGCAAGTGTGTCTGCAAATCATTGGATCATGTATTCCCATTTAAAGTGTTTCAGAAGCCTGGCAATTTGTATGGAACAAAATTTCTCCTTGGAAAACCCCAAGTTTATGAAGCCAGGTGGGCAGCCTGTTGTCAGACCAATCTGGGAGGCCAGTATCCTGCTCTGAGAGTGGGCAGTGGACTCTGGGGACAGAGAATCTGTCCAGCAGCAGTGAGGGCCCTGGCTCAGGTGGCCTTCTTAGAACAGTCGTTACTCACAAACTTCCATTCAAGGGCAGGGGAACTTCCTCCTAGGATCTCATGTGTGTAGACGGCTTTCATTCTGATCATTCCTCCACCTGCTATGTCATTCCTTCTGCTCTGACCCAGGGCAAAGGCTTCCCGGGAACACGGTGGCTTCAACTTCAGCTTGTCTATATGGTATCTGATCACAGAGAGGCAGGGCTTTCTCTGCATTTCATTTTTGGAGCATTTTAGTGTTGGACCCTCATACATTATTTCACAGGTTTTCCAAATTTCAGCTTTCCAGCCCAACAACTGTTGTACATCTTAGTAGCGAAGACTCATTCCCTGACTCAGTTGTACCTTGAAGCCACTTATCTTAGCATGACCTGTGTCACCTGTTCTTTGTCAGAACTGTAAGGAGGAGCCCAAGGGAGGAAATATGAATTTTTTTTCTTTTTGTGGCATCATGGACTGAACCAAGTGTGCCTTTCTGGTTCACACTATGGATCCAGTTTTGTAGGTTTGTGGTAAATTAACAAAAGACACTGATAAGCGGTAAGCTGTTTGTAGTTCAGTCTTTGTCAGTCAATTTCCAAGATGCTGGGACCTGATGGGCTGGACCAGAGATGTGCTGCTAGAAGTCATTAGGGCTAGGGGTTGGGAGCAGAAGGCTGATAAGCTAGGTTCACCCTGGTGGTCTGGATTGCCGCTCCTGCAGAGCCATTCTGGCTTCTTGTAGATCAGTGGGCAGGCAGGACCCTGCCCAGTGGGTGAGACTGTCATAATGCAGCTTTATATTAATCTCCCAGAGTTGGTTCTTCGAGGATAAGTACTATTGCTTCAGACTCATTCATATCTAAACTCCCTGAACCTTTCTAGTGCACATTGCACTTGAATTTTGTAGAGTTCTTTGACATTTACTGTATGTGAGCAGGCAAATTTTGGGAAGGAAAAACAGTCTCTGTTAAGCTGAATGTAGATTTTTGACATGGCAAAAGTCGAAGGCTTCCTTTTAAAACGTGCTAGAAGATTTGCCTAGTGAATCTCATAGAAGAGTAGAAGTCTGTTTAGCTTACCACAGCAGAGCCAGTTTAACCGGAAAGTCTACATATATGTAAACCATACATCCATATTTGCAAACCTCTCTAGTATAAGACATTTAAGAACATTGAGCCAGTATTCTTTTTCCCTGACTGTAGTCACACATCCATGCATAGTACTGGCATTGCTTAGGTCCTGTCCTTTGAAACTTGTTACCTGAAGTCATTTCCCAAGGAGAGTCAAGAGCATCCTGATATAGACTGAAATGGGAAATTCAGTCTGAAAAGTCTGAATTAAATAGAGAGTGAGGTCAGGAGGATTTCATAAACTAAGCTTGAAACTTAATCTCCAAGATGAAAACTTCCTTTTTTTGGGGGGGGGGTTGGTACTGGGGTTTGAACTCAGGGCCTGATGCTTGCTAGGCAGGCACTCTACCACTTGAGCCACTCCACCAACCCTGAAAACTTCCTGAACTCATCCTGCAGATGACTTTTCTTAAAGTGTCATGTCAAGGAAGCATTCATGATAGCATGTGAGGATTGATACTACTTTTAGTTACAATAGTGTCATAGGACACTAAAATTCTCCATGATTTCACCTCCTTTGATGGCTGTGTTAGATTTTCATCTCTGAGATGCACATGATAATCAATTTATCCAGATGATTGGCCCCCAGTTTGGGAGGTTTCAGTCCATTGTTTGCCCTGTTGTCTTCTGTGGTCTTGCGGTCAGGTGGCACATAATTGTGGACAGTGTGTGGTGGAGTAAAGCCTTACCTCATGGCTAGGAGGGGAAAGAAAGAGAAGAGTTAGACCATCCTTTTCAAGGTCATGCCCCCAATGATCTAAAGACCTCCCACTAGGCCCCACCTCTTAAAGTTTACATCATTTTTCAATAGCACCAGCTGAGAACCAAGCTAGTAACATAGGGCCTTTTGGGACATTCAAGATCCAAACTATAGCAAAGGCATTTTGTTTATCAGCAGGCTGTTCTGGAGAAGTTACATTGGCATCTTTTTGTATCCGAGTACAATGAAAGAGCCGCTATTCCCCAAGGAAATTTAGGCTTTTTCCTAGGTTTTATATTATTTAAAAATAAATGTGTGACTTTAGTTTAAAAAATCCCTTAAATAGTTCAGAGCATTCATCTATTTGTCTTTTCCTTTCAGTCTTGTGCATATCTTTTTTTGATGTTGCATAAACCAAAAAACCAGAAGCCTGTGTACGCTCAGGTCCAATTGGTGCGACTTCAAGATGAGTGAGGTTCTTGTTTGCTGAATCAGCAATGTAATGCATAGAACCAACTTGAGTTTGGAGGTCCCTTAGGATATCTGAATATATTTTGGATATTAATTGCAGATAAGTGCTTATAAAATATTGCAGGCAGGTGCTTAATAACATAAAGATACACAATATGGTTCTTTTGAAAGAAATATAACAGTGCACTATTGTAGAACCATCTGTGATCTTCGTCACACGCAACAAAAATGATCTGAATAAGAATGCTCGGTCCTTTTATACCCGAATTCTGAGTTATTGGACTTTGCTGTTCACAGAGACAATTTAGAATGAATTTATGTATTAGTGCAATCCGTCATGCCTGAAAGACTGGTTTTTCTGGCAGATGGAAACATACAGTCAAATGATGGATTAGAAAAACACGTGAAGTGTTCGAGTAGCCTGCTGAACCATGACGACGCGCACTATTTAACTGATGAGCAGTGTGTGCATGGATTCAACGCCTGCTTGGGCCTGTCTCCCCACGATCCTGAGCCAAATAGGATGGACTGATGGCCAACTCTGAAAGTCCCTAAGGCATCCAGCTTTGTTTTGAGAATTTTATGACAAATTTTCAATTTTAGAAAAGTTTTAACTTGAAATTTGCTTTATGAAATAAATGTCTATGGTGCATATTGAATGGAATAACGTTTTATGAAATTTTTAAAACTAGTGATTTTATGAAATAAACATGTATGTGTATCAATGTATATGTAATGTAAACCATTTTACAGACACCTGTGTGAACCATTAAAAATGATCACTACTGCGGCAGCACATATTACTAAAATTGTAAACAATACAGAGAAGACTAGCATGGCCCTTGCACAAGGATGACGCACCTGCAGTGGAAATTCCCCCGTGAAGCGTTCCCATTTTAAAAACAGAACAAAACATTGATGGAGGCAGGAAGATCAATCGCGTTTGAAGGCCAGCCTGGGCTCTGTAGCTGAGCACCCTCTCAAAGACAAACTTCATTGGTGATAAATAGCTTCAAAAGAGGACAAACCAGTGACATGGGTAAACGCATGCACTGATTAAAATTTCTTTTAATTTACTTTTAATGGCAACATAATAATTGGCGCATGTGATGGGTGTAGTGTGATT